GAAATTACTACATGCCCCAGAAACTGAATGGAAAAGGAGCCTCGTGGGAGACGTGACCCTCTACGGAAAACACGCACAAACTTGTAAATTGTGATTTTGATCAAGTGTCTCTGTGGGAAACTGCTGGAGAAAAAAAGGGGTGGATCTGTAGCAACGGACAAGTGTTTTAAAGTGTTTAGAACAGCTTTTAATGAACAAACTATATATATGTATATATGTATATATATATAGATATATATATATACATATATACATACAAATATATGTGCGTGCTCACTCCCAATGAAAATCTGAGCATCTTCAGCTCGGCCTCCTTCTGTCAGTGCCACCGCCTCCAAACCATACATCACAGCAGGTCTCACTACCATCTTGTAAACCTTCCCTTTCACTCTTGCTGTTATCCTTCTCTCACAAATCACCCCTGACACTCATCCCCACCCACTCCACCCTGCCTGCACTCTTATCTTCACCTCTCTTGTGCGGTGTGGATGGTTCACCACCTTCACTACCTCTGCTCCCTGCAGCTTCACTGTCCCTCTTATTCCCACACATAAATTCTATCTTTCGTTCCTCTTCTCTTCAGAGCATACCTCCACCTCTCCAGGCTCTCCTCCACCTGTTCCCCGCTCTCCCTACACACCACAAAGTCTTCTGCAAACGTCATAGCCCACAAAGACTCCTGCCTGACCTTTGCGAACAAGAAGATGTTCACAGCCGATGTAGTCCCACTCCCACATTGAACCCATCTTTCACGCCTGCTGCACGCCTCAACCCTGCCTCACTGTCCTCATACATCTCTCTACCGCACCTGACTTCCTCATGCAGCACCAAAGTTCCTCTCGTGGCGCCCTCTCCTATGACCTCCTGACCTTCTCCTTCCTTCTCCATCAACACTCTATAATAATAACAGAAAACAAGCTGCTTATATGGAAATCAGACTCTTCTAATTCAGTTTATCTTGGATTTTTTTCTTCCTTATTTTAATTACAAGCTTATCATTTCGTCTACTTTATCACCATATGTAGGTGGACTGAAGTGTGGAAGGAGGTTAAGATATTTACCACTGATGCAGACAATGCTGCTGTCTTTAAATCCTCCTCAGGCTGCTCTAGAGTGTGAGAGGAGTCATGTATTAATAGCCATGTAGAAAGCATATTTTCAAGAGAGGCCCGACAGTCTGCAAACCCGCTCAGTCGATTCCGTACTTTTAAACTCGAGCAGCTGTGACACATATTGTGCCATGCATACATTTTCCATTTGAGCAGTTTTAATTACCAGTTTCTCTTTTATCAGGTTCTGGTGATTGGGGTTAATTAAGAGGTGCAAAAATAACCGAGCTCTGGCTTCTGCACAAGCCTGAGCTGCTTTAAGCGTTAACTGCCTGTGAATTCAGAGGTGCCGGTGGTTGAGCGAGCCACCAAAAATGGGGATTTCTAATTTTAATGTTGCCAGTAATTACTGCTGGTCTGTTTCCACGCATCAGATTAAAAGAGATTCATTACTGAGTTTGAATATATTAATTGACAAAGATGAACTCCTCTCTTTAATTATACTTGCCGATATTGCAAGAGAAGTTCTCCATGTGACACCAGAGTCATTTTTTATGTTGCATGCTATCTGCGCCACAATCAAGGCTGTGAGGCAGAAACAGGTGCGACCCGGAAAGCTTTTTATTATTCAGAGAATAACTTCCCCGTGTAAGCCTTTTCAAATGCATCTGTTTCATCTTTATTTATTTAAGACTGTAAAATCTGAAATTAATGAGTCCAAATTTAAATAAAAGACATGCTATTTGTCTTTCAGTGTGCCGGCCTGTCGTGTCCATGAGCTGAATTCAATATAAAAACTGGCAAATCAAATCTGGAGATGAAATATGATGTAATTAAAGGACATTTGTGTACGTTCAGCAACGTTGCAGTGAAAACATTCATATTCGTATTTTATAATTGACAGCTTTTTATTATTGCACATATTCCACTAATAGCTAATCACACTGCCAAAGAACAGCAAGTGGCTCACAGGAGGAAAAAATACATGTGAGTAAAATACATCCAAATAACCAGATTTTTATTTTAGTAATAATAATAACTGTTATTATAATGAAGCAGCTATTCTGGTTCTCGTGTGGAACAGCTGGGGGAAAAAATCACATATTTAAATCTGGCACAAACACAGAGCAGTGTGTTTTAAAGCACTTTGAAAACACTCCTATGCTACATCACGTTGCTCCCCATTTATCTAGACAAAAAGTTGTTCCTGTACAGTGCAAAATATGTAATATCATTATGTAAATATCCATAGAAACGACTTCTCCAGTCAGCTGGCAAAACAAAACACAATTATACAAACGCGTATTCAGTTAAAAGTGGGCGATCAGGTACATTCAGTTAAAAACTCTAACTTAAAAGTATAAATCTGGTAATTTGCCATATTTTTTCTTACTGTCAACAAATCCACAAAATGAAAAAAATAAAAAGTGTTCTCCCTCCTCTTATTAACTCTCCAAGCTAAAATGGCATTATAAAATTATGGACTGGCGATATGCCCACACGACCTAGCTTTATTCAACCTGCAGACTGGTGCTTATTTAATTAGATAATGACTCAAATGCACACTAACATAAAATTTGGGAAAACCAAGAAAGCCAAGTATTCAGTGATGGATGCTTTGTGGTCAAGTAGTTTTTTTTATCTTCTTTCTGCCGTCTACAAGTGTGTCCTGACAGCTGCAATATTGTGAAAAGGTTCATTTATTTTCAATTTAATTGAAATATTCATTGTATTCATTGCATGCAATGACAATTTTTTTTCTGTAACTTTGATGATAGGTCATGAAAATCAGAAATCCGGTATCTCGTTATCTTATGATTTCATTCTCAGTTTGAGTAAATTACTATTCACACGTCATAAATACTGTATTTCTCTGAGTCTATTTAAGGCCTCGTAACCACGATCAACAGGAAGACTGCTGACTTGATGACTATCCAGATGTCACCAACACCCTCCACAAACAGAGTGAACCACCGACAGTCTCAACTGAAAAGACTGGCTGTTTTCACTGAGAGCTGAATTGAAGCATATTAATGGACAGTTGACTTGAAGGGAAACGTGTGGTAGGATAAGTGCATGAGCAGCAGGAATAATTGTAGCCTTTAGAGGACTGCCAAAAAGTCGATTCAAGAATTCAAGAGCTTCACAAGAAGTGGACTGAGGCTGGTGACTTGGCATCAAGGGCCACCGCGTGCAAATGTCAGCTGGTCGTGGCCAGAAGGTTAGTGATTTGATCCTTGGCTGCTCTGGTCTGTGTGCAAGTGTGCAAGTATCCTTGGGCAAAATACTGAACCCCAAGTTGCTCTCCAATGTATCCATCAGAGTGTGAATGTATGTGAATGTTACACAGAAAGCACTTAGGTGTAGAAAAAAAGCGCTTGTATGAATGGGTGTGAATGGTTGAATTAGGCATGTTAGATCAGAGAGCTTTGAGTGTTCAAGTCGAGTAGAATAGTGCTGTACAAGAACCAGTCCATTAGCATTTACCACTTTGATTCCTAATATCAAGCCACTTCTGAACCAGAGATGTCAGAAGTATCTTACCTGGGAAAGAAATGTCCCCAAATATTATATGTTATTTGAAAGTCTCAGTCCTAGTACCTGCAGGAGAGTGGAGCGGAGTGTTTAAAGTCCAGTGTGAAGCTTCTGCAGTCCTTGATGAACTGGGTTGCTGTTATTAACGGTTGGTCCACTGTGTTTTATGAAGTCCAAAGTAAAAGGAGCATCTACCAGGAGGTTTCAGAGCGCATCAAGCTTTCATCTGCTGGCGAGCCTCATGGAGATCCTGATTTCTTTTTCCTGCACCTGCCCCGCTTCAATAACAACCTCAGCAGAGCCACAGATCACCTCTGCATACTTTTAAAAAGTCGGGCATCTCTCCATCATAAATAATTCTATGATTGACGTTAGTGAATGTTGTACTGGATGTGTGATTTTCATGAGCTATAAAACATAATTAGAAAAACGAAAACAAACAAAGCCTTGGCATATTTCATTGTACGTGTGATGTATACAAAATATAACTTTCAATTTTTAAAAAATAAATAAATAAAGCTTTTAAAGACTGACCTGTGTATTAATGGAAATAGTCTAAACATGCACATTAATTGCTGTCTATACTTGAGAAATTCAAAGAACAGGGATGCTTGGGAAGTTGGAAAATACTGAGAAACCGACCAACTAATTGATTTTGGTGACAGTAACAAAGAATAAAGCCTCTCACCAGACTCATCCTTTAAGATTAGGGTGTAAATGTCAAATGCCTTTGGCTCCTTTAGGTATAGCATCTCTGAGAGAATTAGACAAAGTGCATCAATATTAAGTGACTGACATGACACTGCAAAGTAGTCTAACACAGTCAATACAGAACATGGCAATAATGTGCAGCAGCTGAGCCTCCACATTTAGGTCTGCATCCATTCACTGACAGGACATTATACAGAAGCAGGAGCAACAAAAGTCTTTCCCTCTTTGCCCGTCGTCGCTCGGCTGCTTATCGACCACCAGCCTCCGTGTGTGCGATGTTAAGTGGGGCAAGAACAGGTTTGAAATGATTCTAAAGTTGTTGGAGTTAGAGGAAGGCCACCTTTTACATGTCGCTCAGAGTGAAGAAGGGACCTCATCTCCAGCTGTCCCCTCAACTTTAGATGAGCCAATGACTTATTCGGTGAAATAGACTGGCTGTGTGGTTTCTGGGGAATGCTGTTCCTGATGAATCACAGATCCCTTGTTTGCCGTCACTCCCCAACGTCTCCACCCTATCTGTCGTCTTACCCATCTCTTCTTTATCTTTTTGCCCATTCATCCTCCCCCACATCGCCACCTTTTCATTCCTGTCCGCCCACCGTCTTCCTTATGGTTTTTTTTTTTTGCTCTCTTCTTCACCTTCCACCCACTTCCTTGTCCCATCTTTCGACTCTCTTTTCTCTTTCTAACAATAACCTGTCCTCTCTTTCTCTCTCCTGTTCTTTTTTTCTCTCCACCCACCTTTTTTTTCTGCAAGAGGCAACCTTTATTTTTGGCCTGCACTGTAGCGTGTGCATATGTCACGTCCTGCATTTGCCATTAACTGATCCTCTGGAGACAGTAGTCGTTCTCTGTGTCTAAAGAGCTGTTATGGCCAGACGAAGGGTACAGGTCACGTCGGAGTAGCCTGTTGACGACGGTGACCAGGACTTTCTTGTACTGCTGACGTAGGAGAGAGTAGGCAAAGGGGTCAGACGCAGCCTTGCTATATGTCAGGCACTTACTGATGATTCCCCAGTGGCGGTTGACGTCCACGAACGGGAGAAGCTCAGCCAACCTGAAGGGGCATCAGGAGAAACATGACTAAACAGAGTGCATTTTAGTGAAGGTGCCACTCAGAGATTTGTCCTGATGTCATGTCAGATGATTAGGTAAGACTGACCATAAAACCTTTAACACATTAGGTACTCTATAATGATCATAAAAGAGGCTTGGAAATGCAATTGTGTGCTCTTTTTCTTTTTCTTTTGCAAAGGTAGGTGTAACGTGGTGAAATTTTTTTTATAACTCTGCCCTTTCAAAAGAAGAAGATCTTTTATCATTTTTTCACCTCGGATTGTTATGTTCAGACCACTCGTGTTATTAATGATCAAAAGGAACTGTGTGGCAGATTTTTAAATGCCTAAATGAAAAACAAACCAAACAAAGAACTCCATTTCGACCAAAGTTGGGAGGCTGTGTGAAACGTTAACAAAAACTAATAATCAAAAGCTATTTTTAACTAAAAAAACAGCACACAGACAAAATATTAGCTGATGAAACTGATCATTTTTCTTGTTTTATTTCAATTAAATCTGACTTTTTTTTAAATCACAGATGCTGTGTCCTCTGGATTAAAGAAGACCTGCTGTGGTCCCTGGCCTTGGCCCTGTTTTCAGTTTGCTTAGTAAAAGTATCTAGATTTGAATTTTCCCTGTAAAATCCGATTCAGAATTTTTGTTATTGTATTTTTTGTTCCTGTTTTTGGTTGGAGCTTTTGCTATTTCTTTCTTTTTTCTTTGAAACATGTCTCCTGTATCTGAACTTTACTCCCTCCCTCTGGTTGTCTTGATTGTTTTCACCTGTTTCATTTCATCCAGCTGTTTCCACGTCCCTGTTTACCCCATGTGTATAAATAGCCCTCTCCTTCCACTGAGCCTCAGTTTATGTATATTTGTGTCTTTAAGTCTCAGAACTATGACAGGATCATTGCTTTCTGTTATCAGAGCGCACTTCAAAAGCTGTCGTCTCTGACAGTGTGAAGGTGCATTAGTGCACACTACATGAGTACTATGCACATTTATGATGACCCACTAATGCTGAATAATGCATGCAAGTTTCAAAGTGACATATGCTGCCACACAGACAATGTCCTTTTCAGGGAAAGTGCAACCTATTATAACACCAAGACAACACCAAAATTGTGTTGTGTGTGTAATCTAACAGTATGACTCTGCAGTAAAGGGGTCCTGATGATAGATTGGCTACCCTGCAGACCAACCACCCTTTATTTTTATGATTAAAGTTTTTTTAAAAAAAAGCCAAAATGTTAATGTTACTATAAATTTTGAGAGAACAAAGTTTCCTAAGTAAAGAAAGAAAACGTCAGTAGGCTTATTTACTGTGGCGTATTTGTCATATTATACCAAGAATAACCTTCCAATTGCCCCAGTTGTTAAGCTGTCCTCCTACTGAATGCATTTTTATATTTTACTTTCTAATAACCTAAAATTCAGCTTTTTTGGCTGAAGAGGCCAGTAAACAAAAGCAAAATATAGATAGATACCCAAAAAAGGCCATGAAGACTCTCATCGTGTTTAAGGAATTGTGAGGTTTAACTCTCACAGGAGAGACTTGATCAAGGATACTCTGCTGAGCAGGTGAAAAAATACATTTGAAAACTACAGCATGTAGAAGAAACTCTGAAGCAGCACAGGGACAGACGTGTCCCTGTCTCACCAGTTAATGTTTTTTTTAAACATATTGATCCCATCAAATTAAAAATGAACAGATAGATTTCAAAACATGGTCTCATTTGACACATGTTTTTTTTTTTAAAAATGGGTTAGATAGTTGTCTAAGGAGCTTAAAAAAGAAGATGCCTGGTCTCATCTAAGAATCTTCTTCAGTTAAACAAGTCCCATCACCTTCTTTTCAAGCTCCTTAGACTACTATGACCCGGATTGCTGAGAACCTGCACAGATATTTAGATAGTTTCCACATCTTTATGTTGGTTACTGAATTAAATGCTAAAGCATTCTCAGTGCCACGTTAACATCAAATCAAAACATTAAAAAAGGTGGAGAAATTATCATTTTTAAAGGCATTACATATGACCATAGATATTGTGTAGATTTTATTAAGGCGCTTCAAATTATCCAATAAAGAAGTTTTTTCTTTTGTTTTTTTCTGTCCAGTGGAGATTACATTTTCTTATTTATTTATTTACTTACTTACTATATTATCAGTTAAAGTATTTGAAACACAGTGTAGGGTTTTGCCTTTTTCAACTTAAACCACACAGCTGAGCGCCTCTCCACATTTCTAACACAGTCTCCTGTATTCTTCTGGTCAGGGGGGATGTGGAACAGTGAAATCAAACACGACCATCAAAATACCACAGAGGCAAAGACTACTTTACAAGTACAAAAGATAAAATATGCGTATGAATTATCATAATTGGATGCTTAGGTGCCAACTGCCACACTAGACACTTCCTGTGGGCAGGCACGGTCAGTGGGGGGTTACTCCACCTCAAATGCTGCTCTTTGCTAATTTGTCCTCCTTCTTCCCTTCCATATATGAGCACACCACAAATGTCAAATTGATGGATCATCAGCACCGCATCTGGGCGATTTGTGGCCCACTAAAGCATTTCCACGCTTCTCTGGGAGCCTCTTTGGTTGTTTGAACTGTATCTATTGTCCTAGACTCTAATGCGTGTCTTTCACTGGAAGTAGCCTGCCATGTTTATGTACAGCGCAGCACAGGTGGCTAATGAGCCATATCACAGTTTAAGGAAATGATCATTGAAATTATGAGCGGTGTGCTGTCAGCTTGGAATAAACTGTTTGCTTGTATCTGATCGGACATTGTGAGTTTGTACTGCATTAGCATGTGAAGAAAACAGGTCTGCAAAGCTGATCAGCGTGGATGCAGATCTCAACATGCTGGCTAAATGTTTTTTACTTAGTCAAATGCCGTCGAAGATGTATTATTTTACAAATGTGTGGGGTCAGTTATTTCTTAAGCAGTTGTTTTGCAGTAAGTTGAATTATGTATGAGTTGACTCACCTTGTGATTACATAAGGAGCAAAGCAGATGATAAATGAGCCGATGAAGATGCTGATCTTCTTCGTGGCTCTCTGCTTTCTCCTCTTTTGCTCTGCTAAGCATCTTTGTTTCACGCTGAAAACAGCAAAGAACATTTAGACTTTTTTGCCACAAGGCCACTGTCAAAACAGACCGGGAGAAATCATGCTCACAATACACGAGGTGAACTACCTTGGGTGAATATCGACTAGCAGGAACAGAGTCTGCATGGTGATAATGTCAATCCTCTTGCAGTGAAACCTAGCGACCTTCAACACCTTCAAATAGGTGAAACACAAGATGAGCAGGGACAGAATGAAACTGGTGGCGTGGAAAACGATAGTGAAGATTGTAAACTTAATCCTGTCGCTGCCTTCCTCGCTCGGCTGCAAGGTGCAGGACGCGTAAACGTCGCTGTAGTCGACCCAGGAGAAGAGCAGCGCCGTCAGGGAGAAGGTAAAGGAGTGCAGCCAGGAGTAGCACACCATGATCAGTGCGTCCTTGTAGCGCATTTTGGTGGAGTAACTGAGCGGGAAGACGACCGCTATCCACCGATCTATGCTGAGAGCCGCCATGCTCAGCATGGTGTTTGCGGTGAGAAAAGTCTCCAGAAAGCTCACCGTGTGGCAAACGCAATCTCCAAAGGGCTGCTGCTTTCTGATAATCCCCACCAGAGTGGCCGGCATGTTCAAAACAGTGATGAGTATGTTGCAGAAAGACAAGTTCATGGTGAAAACACCGGGCACCTGTCGGCGTATCTCGGTGCTGTGGACGAAACATAGCAGCACCAACAAGTTGGACAACAGCGAGACGATCGCGACCACGACGATGAACAAAGCGAAAATGACTTCAGCAAAGTCCATGTCTCACTCCAGAAAGTCCACTCGCACGTTACCTGCGCCTGTTGTTGCAAACGAGAACTTCAAATCCACCATGGTCGCTCATCTCCCCGGCGGCTCCACGCACTCGTTTCACTTAGATCCTCGTGCGTCCGCGCGCGCCGCCGCCGTACTTTCCAAATTCCTCGAGCGCTATCCAGCGTGCTGAACCCAGCAGTCACCATCTCTCTCTCCCCCTCTCGCTCTATAAGCTCACCGACCGCTTCCCACTTACATCCGACAGGTGCGCGTGTGGCGCTCTGCGATGCGCGGGGGTCACGTCTTTCAGCAGCCACGACAGTTTGAACAACACGCCAACGGAACAGCCATCAGGCAGAGAGCGATCTGTGGGGCACCGAGAAAAGCAAGTTGATGAATGACTGAACAAAAACCTGTTCACAGAAAAAATGAACCCAAGCTTCACCTCGTTTCCTACATGCTTTGTCGATGCCTCGTTCGGCTCACCTTGAGCAAACTTGAGCACAAACACAAGTCGTCACGCTTCAGTTATTCACCGTCGAGTTTTGCACTGATCGCCCTTTGCTCCCAATCAGCGTGGATGTGGAGGCAAAGGGCGCAGATAAACTCCGGCATGTGTTTCTGAATAATGGGAAACGGCTCAGCCGTCATCAAATGGCACAAGGTGCACACGCCCCCCTTTTGCTCATATGAATTATTTATTACGCGCGTAGATTTGGCGTGTCATATTTTCTGTAGATGCAAAAATAAACAAATAGTTTGAAGGAAGGACTGTTAGAATGTCACTTTTTAACGGGATTTTCGCCTAAAATTTGACTTAAATATACGAAGATACAATTATTTGCCACGAATTGCTGCAGTAACAGTAAAATATCCTTTTCTTTACACAATTTTATCTTAATATGTTTAATATGTTCATGTTATGCGGCTTTTTGCTTTTACTCCACAGTACAAAGTTTTCTTTTCTATGTTATAAGATGCAGTTATTGCACTTTGTATTCCATACTATTAATTTTAAAATAGTTACTTGTTTGTATGACAGCTCAAGCTAACCAGCAGTACATAAGTACTTAAAAACATCAATAGGTGCAAAATTCAAGAGAGAAAATATACACATATCAATCATCAGACATAGTACCGTCATGCATATGATACATACAATATCATGCATCACATAATGCCTGCATTTACTTTAGACACTTTAAATATATTTTGATTACACAACCCGTGGACTGTTAAGCTACACAGAATAAGAAAAATTAACGTTTACTTTTGTCATTTGTTTTTTTTTAAAATCCAAAATAAAGATATGTGTAAATTCTTATACAGCACCAATTTTCACACAATCAAACCTCTAACTGAGCCTGAAAACTGTGTTTTTTATTTTTGTTTAAACCTGCTGTGTTTTTGGTCCCACTCTCCCACCGACTTGGAAAGACTCACTGAAATTCCCTTGCTTTGCAGATCAAACACCAGCTGTCTCTCGGGAGTCCATGTGGTTATGTCCTTTTATTAATTTGGCAATAATCTTGTTAATAACGTATGTAACTCAAAGTTAAATAATCCTGGATCTACTGACTTCTAATCGGCCACAGAAGCAATATGTCTTTAATTAAGAAAATGAGTTCTTCCCCCTCTGTCAGCCTTCTGTCAGTTCGCAAACCTTTCAATGGATGAAGATAGTGTTATAATCCATTTTAGCTAGTTATTTTGGACGCACTGAAGTTGTTCATGTTAATGACTTTGGAAGGTGGAGCTTTAAATCATTAGTAAGTGAAACATTTGCTATATATACAGCCATAAGTCTTTCTTAATGTCAAGGTACAAGGGGGTTTCCTTAAACCTCAGGACGACAGTGCTCTGTTTAATAAAGCGATTAGTTATAAATTATAGTATTTTATAAATGCTTACAGGGTTAAATGTTATGTCAAAAGGTGTAACTTTTGGAACATTTCACTGCCTGACAATTTAAAAACTGGTGTTAATAAAACAAAGTTTGGGTTCACAACCATTATTAATCATTTAAACAAGAATGTTAATCAAATTAAGTTTTAATCAGTTTACATCATGTTGTTAGTTAAATACCGGTCTGTTTTTATATGAATTCAGACTTTATAATTGCCCATAAATTGGTCAATAACCATAGTAGTTTACTAACCATTAACAAAGTTGTTTCTGCCTTAAAAACTCTTAAAGTGTAAATTGATTAAGTGCAAGGGGACATGCCGTGGTCACCCCGTCTCCACAACATTCTGCAATTTTCGGTGTTTTTGTAACATCTCAGCGAGGCATTTTTGTCTAAAGGAAAAAGGGAATTGCACTTCAAAAAGCAAAAACTGTACAAGCGGCACTCTGTGTTCCAATAAATGAGATAAAACTCCAGGTAAGGTAGCCAGCAATAGAAGTGCACTTCACTAATGTTCGTGCTTGTTACTGAGTCATGCTCAGTTCTGCAGAAGCTCGCGTAGACAGTGACTCACCGGGGTCAGACACAGCCTGCAGGGCTTTTGTGTATCTTTTTTCGTTTTCACTCGCTTCATACTCCCACATGTTATGAGGCTTGTGCCCGAATCCCCTTCCCCTCCAATTAAGAGCAGCAGTTTATTTATTAAAGAGTGATGCTGTATCTGAGAATTGACTTTACTCTGTGCCCACGGCTTTGTTCGCAGCAGTCGTAGTTGAGTCTTAAGCGATTAGGTGAGTCATCAGTAAGTGTAGTAGCGTAGTTTAGGGAAACCCTGAGGCAAACTATCTGCCCTCAAAGGCATCATCATCATCATCATCACAGCAGCTGATGAAGGTCTCCATGAGCACTGTATTCAAGCTATAATTAAGCTACAGCGTTTTGTATGCGTGTGTATGTGTGCGTGTGTTTATATGCAGGAGTCAGAAAGTCAGTGAGAAAAAGGCAGAAGTGGGTGATGTCAGTTCACTACAAACAAGTGATCAAATGCCTGGGAGAGCGCTAGCTGAGCTCCTGGGGGGAAAGTGCAAAGCTATTTATAGCCCTGATGGGAGTCACCTCCAATATAACTCTCTGCACCGCTGTACTACACAACTGATGCATCATAGTGGAAGCCCTGAACAGCTTCAGAGCCTCAAATGACATTCCTTTGAGAAGATGCATTTATGTACATGAAGCAATCATCCACTGCTGTTTTGTTGTCCCCTCCTCCAAAATGCCTCAAGGCCTTTTAGCAGTTTAGAAGAAGGCATTCAAACAGTGCGAAAAAAATCTTCTAATTATCCACCATCGACTGTAAAACAAATCCAACTTCACAATAAAAAAGGACGCTGGTCCCCGAGAGTTTAGACAACATTCAGTAAATTTTCATTTCTGAATGTGTGAGTCAGAATGAGCCACAAGGTAAATGTAAGGGAGCAGATGGGATGGGCTGGATATGCACTGTTGCTTCCAGATACAACAATAAGTAAACACACAATAAAAAAAACACACAATATTTTTGTTTGATAGGATGATCACCCTGTTAGCTTAGGCTACTGCAGTCATAAATTCTTAGTGTGACTCAGCTGAGACACATAACAGGCTATGGACTGGTCACCTACGCCGCTGTCTTTCGCAACCTGCTACAGAAGGAGGTGCCAGGCATCGGCTACTGGAAACAAGGATCTATGCAAACAGTGGCTCTGTGTGATGCTCGCCGTCAAATAATCAGAAAATAGAAAAAGCAGAGGTAAAATGAGAAAAACACCCGAGGACATGTAGGTGGGTTGAATCAAGAGGACAGGATTGGTCCTTTAGCTTATTTTTCATTTCTGTGTAGTGAGTGGGAGGGTATTCTGTGCTTCTGATGTTCAGCGTGGGCGAGTAAAAGTTTCCAGTCTGAGGGTCAGGACATCGTGAGGCATCACCTGCTTCATTACATGGGATAAAACATTCGACTGATTACCAGAGGAGGTGCGAGTGACATTAAAAGAGTCAAATTTATTTAGAAAAATGGTCGATGCATCTCCATGAGGAATTGCTCCAACAGCTTTCACACAGCTGAGATGGAAGTTATCCCCAAAGTGAAGTGTTTTCAATATGAAGAAAGTTTTGAACATGTGCATCAGTCTTACTGAAACACATCTCAGCTAGGGTTTTACAACTTGAAGGAAATAAGGCTATTGTGGCAGAAACCACCACTTGCACTCATCAGCCACTTTATTAGATATAGCCTTAATTCTTTACTGAACAAGTTCAACAAGGTGCTGGAAACATTCCTCACAGATTTTGGTCCATATTGTCAGGATAGCATTAAACAATAGCTGCAGATTGGTCAGCTGCACATCCATGATGTAAATCTGCTGTTCTACCACAACCCAAAGGTGCTCTATTAGACTGGGATCTGGTGACTGCGGAGGACATTTGAATACAGTGAACTCAAGTTATGTTTAAGAAACCAGTTTAGAGTGATCTGAGCTTTGTGACATGCTCTGTAATCCTGCTAGAAGTAGACATCAGAAGATATGTACATTGTGATCATAAAAGGATTGGTTGGCTGTATCTCGGTTGTAAGGTGTGGTTATTTTAGTTACCTTTGCCTTCCTCTCAGTTCAAAGCAATCTGTCCATTCTCCTCTGAAATCACCAGTAAGGTATTTTAACCATCACTGGATATTTTCCAGTTTCAGACCATTTTCTTTAAACCCTAGAGATGGTTGTGTGGGACCAGCCCTGCTCAGTTTGAACCTTAGCGGGTCACCTTCATTGTGTCTACATAACTAACTGCTTTGAATTACTGAAAGGTGAATTGCTGATTAGATATTTATATTAAGGAGCAGTTAAACGTGTAACCAATAAAGTGTCCAGTGAGTGCATACTGTAAGTAGGTTACATCCACAAACAAGTGTCTGACTGTTGGGACCCATTGCGAGATGGTTTCTCTTTCATATTTTTCTTTTGCATGAAAGAAATGGATTAATTGAAAAAAAAATGTGCAGATTAAAGATATGATGTCAAATCAAATCTGGACAAAACATCCTCATATCAAATAAGTAATACTGCTGTTTGGTACATGTGGTGCTTAAAGGCTTAAATTACACCAAGATGGGCTTTCAGTGCCGATATAGAACAACACAATGAATATTTTCGCAGCGTAGGCAAGACTGAAAGTGAGCTCACTGAGAGCAAAATTGGTTCTTTGTGAGCATGTCACAGCCTCAGCCTCATAACAAAAAGCTCTCTGAGAGCTCTTCAGATTTCCATTAACCAATGATCTTATGCAACATTGTCTGACGTTCATAAAGGCCTATATCACGATCACCTCAAGCCAGTAGAAGTGCTTCATGTTCAGAAAAAGTGTGATCTCAGTGCAGTCATGAAATCCCCCTGCAGCCCTACAAGTACCTGATGTCACTTGGATCCAGAAGCTGTGCTGCGCCTTTTTAAATACGCTGCCTTTACAGCGTCCCCAGAGCACAGAGCAGCGCCTGAGGACAGGAAGGAAGAGGGGGAGGATCTCAGGTCATGCGTTAGGTAACTCAGCAGTCGGTATGTCTTGTCTTGGAGGCACAGCACAAGATACAGTAGAGGGTAACACGATGCTTTTGGACAGGTACATGGAATAAAGAGGATCAAGCAGTCCACAGATCCTTACTGTGTT